CAGTCAGGAAATCAAAAACATACATACAAACCCAACCAAAGATGTTCAGAAAAAGGCCTGGGAAGTTCTTAAAGAACTCTCCTCAGGTCAATGTAAACAATGTAACTGTCCATTTCTCTAAATACATACAAGTGACCCAGAAGCCCATGGAAGGATACTTGGTTTTCTTTGTCCAGTGACTATTTTAGCCAATGAGGTTTATCTGCAGAGTGATTACTTCCTTATCAAATAAATTGGGCTGGGAATGTAATCAGTGGAATTTGTGTAGTAAGCACAAGGCCCCAAGTCAAATATGTAGAAAACCAGAATCCTGTGTACTGCTGATAGGAGTGCACAATAGATAACATGTAGGATTAAACATAAAATGTAGTAGTATGTGGCCTTTAAAAGGAAAGTCTAAAATATGCTACAACAGATGAAACTGGTAAGCCAAGTGTGGTGGCTGATACTTTTAATCCCAGCAATCTGGAAGGATGTAGCAGGAGGATCAGAGGCAAGTTCAAGGCCAATCTATACTACACAGTGAGTTCTAGGCCAGTGAGCTACAGTTAAATGTTGCCCTCACTTACCACCACCACCACCAGAAAAGAAAAAAATGCTCAATGAAATGAACCAGAAACAAAAGGACAAATATTGTGTGATGGTCAGCTCGTGTTTCAATGAAGGACTGTCTACATTAGGTTGGCCTGTGGGCATGTCTGTGGAGGATTATCTTAACCACATTAATTAATGTGAGACGAACTAGCCCACTTTAAGGCAGCACCATTTCCTACTCAGGGGAACCTGAACTATGTAAGAGTACAGAAATCAATGGAGCTGGGGAAATGGCACAGCAGGTAAGAGCACTGGCTACTCCTGCAGAGGACCTGGGTTTGGTTCCCAGAACCCACGTAGTGGCTCACAACTATCTCTAACATCAGCAGAGTGAAGGCAAAAAAAGTTTGGAGAAAGTAAAACAGGTATCTGAACCAGAGTCAGATACCACAGGAGTGTCACATTTAAAAACTATGAAGTGGAGCATGGGGGCTCACATCTGTAATCCTAGCAGACAGGGGGACTGCTGTAACTCTGAAGCCAAATTGAAGTACATGATGATTTCTGGGTCAGCCCAGGCTACAGAGTGAGAACCTATCTCCAAAATAAATTGACTATGATTAACAGATCCGAGGACTTCTATAGAAAAAGAGAGAGCATGCAAGAATAGCTAGTTAATACAAGGAGAGGCATGGGGTAGTCTTAAGAAACAAACAAATGATAGAGATCAAAAACATTAACAGAAGAAAGGAAGGCCTCTGTTGAGAGCTTTACTACACTGGACATGGCTGAGAACTAATCTTAGAGCTTGATGATATGACAATAAAAACATACAAAAATGAAAGACAAGGGCTGGAGAGATGGCTCAGCAGTTAAGAGCACCAGCTGCTCTTGCAGAGGACTTGGGTTCGATTCCCAGCACCACTTGGCAGCTAACAACCAACCGTGACTCCAGTTCCAGGGGAATCCAATGCCTTCTTCTGACTCCATGGGTATTGCATGACACGGGTGCACTTACACACATGCAGGCAATACACTCATACACATAAAATAATAAAATATTTTTAAAATGAAAGGCAGAACAATAAATGTCTTGAAAAAGAAAATTAGAATATCCAATAATCATAGGATGACTAAAAGAGTATAGTTTAGCCATGTGTGGTGGTGCATAACTTTAATTCCAGCACTCAGAAGGCAGAGGCAGGTGATCTTTGCCAGTTCCAGGTCAGCTAGGGGTGCAGACAGTGAGAGCCTGTCTCCAAAAAATAAAAGAACAATTTACATGTAAATAAGAAACAAACAACAAAAAAAAGGGACAGAAACAGAGCAAATATTGTAAACAATAAAAATATGAATTGCATTCAGATTCATGTCAGGTACCAATCTAGAGATTCAGAATGGCTGAAAAAGACAAAGATGACATCATATAAATAACAACTAGTTACATGTAGTAGCCCACACCACTAATCTCAGCATTGGGAAGTAGAAAAAGGGGATTGGGGCTAGAGAGATGGCTCAGTGGTTAAGAGCACTGACTGCTCTTGCAGAGGATCCAGCACTCACATGGCAGCTAAAACAACCTTACCTATCTCCAGTTCCAGGAGATCTGATGCCCTCTTCTGACCTCCATAGGAATTGCATGACACGGGTACACTTACATACACACAGGCAATATACTCATACACATAAAGTAAAAAAAAATTTGGTCTTTTTGAGACAGGGTTCCCTGTAACCCCAGCTAGCCTCAAACTTGTTATGTAGACCAGTCCTTGAACTCACAAAGATCTGCCTATCTCTGCTTCCCAAGTGCCGGGATTGAAAAAGGAAAAAAGGGATCAGAAGTTTGCAGCCAGCCTGGGCTACAATACCCCCATGCTGTGGGCATGAACAATACAAACCATTCACCTGTTTAATTAAGGCTATTTCCATTCTCTTCTTTATCCCTACAAGCTGACACCAGGTATGTTCATTATTTATTAAATTTATTTCTGTTTGCTGAGACAGAATTCTACCCTGTGGCTCAGGCTAGCCTTAAACTCCTGATCCTTCTGCCTCTACCTCCCTAGTGCTAGCATTACAAGTATAAGCCACCATGCCCAGATTACTGTGACAGAGTATCACCACATACATAGCCCATGTTGGCTTAAAACTCTCTATGCAGCCTAAGTTGGCCTCAAATTCCTGGTCCCCCTACCACAGTCCCCAAAGTGCTTGGATTATAGGTGTGGGCCACAATGTACAACTCAGAGTAGACACCTAAAAGAACCCTAACTGCAGCTTTTGCTTTTCTAACCTATAACAACAGAAATACAAAACAAAAGCATGTGGGAAAGACTGGAGCAAACTAATATTTCTTATTCCCATATACACCTCATGTAGAGTTCAAGAGCATGGCTCCCAATACAAAGAAGTATCTGAATTTACAGTATCAATACTACCATGATGGTACACATAGAAATAGAGGCGGAAGGCAGCCTGGGCTACATAGCAAAACACTGTCTCAAAAAACCAGTAATAATGAAACAACCTTATGATCCTCTCCTCAATACATACCCTCCTCCAAGGAAACAAAGTCAAATACATAAAGAGTATCTATATCTATGTTTACTGTGGCATTATTCACACTAGCCAAACTATGCAATCAACCTTGGAACTCATTAAAAGATGAATGCACAAAAAGCATGAGCCATATATATATATGGTGTATCAATAGTGCATTATTTTTCAGCTATTGCTGAAAAATTTTTCATTAAGAATCATTAAGAATTTAGGCTGGGCGTGGTAGAGCACACCATGAAGACCCTGTCTCAAAAAAACCAAAAAAAAAAAAAAAAAAAAAGAATGGGGCTGGGTGGAGTGGTGCATGCCTTTAATTTTAATTTCAGCACTATCTATATCACCAGTTTGAGGCCTGCTGGGGCTACAGGGAGACCATGTCTCAAAAAGACAATAAAAAAAAAAAATTAAGGAAAAAAAAAAAGAATTAAGAATGACACCATGGGGTTGGAAAGATGGCTTTAAAAGCACTCTGCTTTTCCAGAGGACCCAGGTTTGATTCCTAGGATCCACAGGGTACCTAACAACCCAGGTTTGATTCCTAGCTACCACAGGGTAGCTAACAACTGTCTGTTAACTATAGTTCCAGGGGATCCCACACCCTCTTCTGGCCTCTGTGGGCAACGCACGACACGAGTGCACTTACATGTAGGCAAATCACACATATACATAAAGTAAATAAAAAAGAATGGTGCTATATTATTTTCAGAAACAGGTAGAATCAGACATCACCATGGGAAATGAAATAAGATAGACATAAGAAGAGAAGTACTGCATGTTTTCTCTGACATATGGAAACTAGGATTTTAAAAATGATGATTTGGGTTGGTGTAGCTCAGTTGCTCAGAGTGCCTGCACAGTCACCAGGAAGCCCTGGGTTCAATCCCCAGCATAAAACAGGCATGGTTGTGAACACCTCTAATCTCAGCATTTAGGAGATTTAGGCAGGAGGATCAGGAGTTCAAGATCATCCTTGTCTACATAGGGGGATCTGCTCTTCTTGTCTCCGTGGGCACTGCACACAGGAGTGCATTTACATACATGCAGGCAAAACACTCGTACATAAAGTAAAAATAAATAAATCTAATAATAATAATAATAATAATAATATCATCAAGGCCAGCCTGGTCTACATAGTAAATTCTAGGCTAGTTGGGACTTTTTTAAAGTAAGTCTTTCAGAATACATGCTATCACTAAATTTTAATGTTTTTTTTCTGAAAGTCAACAATTCGCAAAACCATGTAACTTTTTAACAGAAATGACAACTTTAACAAGACACAACCTTCCAAAGCAAAGATTTCTAAGTGAGAATTTCTATACTCTCAGAATACCTTATGCCTGTAATGTATCACTAGCTGGATCAAATCATTAAGATACTTTTACATTTGAAAAGTTACAGCTTTAATCCCAGCACTTGGGAGGCAGAGGCAGGAGGATCTTTGAGTTCGAGGCCAGCCTGGTCTATATAGCAAGTTCCAGGCCAGCTGGGGCTACAAGGAAACCCTGTCTCAAAAAGACAAAAAAAATTAAAAAGCTACAAAATTTCCAGGTATGGTGGCATGCACCTTTAATCTCAGCACTTGGGAGGCAGAGGCAGGTGGAGCTCTGTGAGTACAAGGTCAGTCTAGTCTACATAGAGGGGTTCCAGGTGAGCTGGGACAACACAGTAAGACCTTGTCAAAACAAAAAACCAGAAAGTAATTTTTAAATTTTCTTCCCATTATTTTCTCCAAAAACAATTTTGGAAATATTTATGCTTCTCTATCTTACAATAAAACATAAGAGATACATGAGCAGATGGTACTCACTCATGATCAGGCGACTATGACTACTCCGAAGTATGCCAGAAACATGCATATTCAGCCCATTCCAGGTAAAAATCCAAAATATCATTTTGTACAGCCTTACCCAGATTTCCTTGCTCAATTGTCAGTACCACTTCATCCATCACTACGGCCCGAAAGTCCAATTCCTCTTCACAACATTTGGCCTTCAAAGCTCGTAAGATCTCTTTTTGGGGATAGTCTTCCCTGATGCGACGATCTGTCAAAAACCACAACTTAGCAGCTACTGAGCTGCACATCTTGATCTGCTTGTTCTTCCTTTTCTGGAGTATTTCTTCTTGAACGTAAACTTTTATCTAGATGGGAGAGAAAAATACACATACAATACTGATGAAAGCTTCCAAATTTCTGGATTTTACACAAATCAATGTTGTGGCTATATACTATACAAAGAAAGACAAAAGTGAACTACTGGTCATGCATGCCCGTGACTCTAGAATGCCAGGGAGACACAAAAGGATCTGGAGCTCGAAGTCAGCTTCAGTTATACAGTGAGTTTAAACTTCAACTTTGGAAGACCCTGTCTCAAACAAAACAAAAGCAGAGAAATATGATGCTTTCTTCTCTTTCATTCGAAATTGAAAACTGTGGACCACTATAATATAGATCCTGTACTCCAAAATAAGATGTCTCTATTTTCCCTTGGGGAATCTGACAGTACAATTAAATAATTTAATAACTGTAGCTAGACATGATGGCACACATCTTTAATTCCAGCAATCAGGAGGGGGAGGCAGGCAGATCTCTGTGAGTTTAAAGCCAGTCTGGTTTACATAGCAAGTTCTAGGTCAACCAGGGCTATATACTCACACCTTGTCTCAAAATTAATAGCCATATAATAATTTAATAATTATAGCCAGTCATTTCACAGAAACTGTCAAAACCATTTTCATATATAATTTTTATCTAGGAATATATTCAATTTTCTCATGCTTTTTTATAGTTACGTAGATAATGAAATAAATCACTATTTATTCAGTAAGCAAAACTGGCATCACTTGAAGAGTGTGCAAAAGGACTTAAAAAATGAAAGCAAATGCCCATGTCTATTCACTAAACTAAATGCCACTATTTCAGAGGATAGCATGCTGTTACTCAGCATTTGTAGTCTTTGAATGGAAAATTTTAAAATTGGAAGGAAAAAAAGAGGATGCTTTTCCAACAGAGTGCCTGTCACTTCTCAGAATTTGAATCATAAATCAAGTAACAGTTAGCAATTGTCTTACTTGGAAACGAAAAGACTACCACTCAAATCCAGTTTAAAAATGAAAAAGGGGCCGGGCGTGGTGGCACTTGCCTTTAATCCCAGCACTCGGGAGGCAGAGGCAAGTGGATCTCTGTGAGTTCAAGGCCAGCCTGGTCTACATAGTGAGTTCCAGAACAGCTGGAGACAGTGTCTCAAAAGGACCAAAAAAAATGAAAAAGGGAAAGTTTTGTTTTTTAAATCTTTTTAATATTAAAATTACAAAACTTCAAATACAGTGGTTCCTCACCCTTAGTATCATGAGAATGAAGGATTAGCTCCAAAACCGCAACCCCCAACCCCCAACCCCCATATTTCTCACACCTACCTAGGAACACACACACCAAAATCAACAGATGCTCAAGAGCCTTATGGAAAAGTGTGCTGTGTTTCCACAAAACCTGCAGACATCCTCTTGTACATTTTAAATCCTTTTTAGATTACTTATACTGAAAAAATTCAAATGCTATGAAACACTTATCATACCGATCAGGGAAGGAAAAAGAAGTCTGACTTGTTCAATATAGTCTTGATATTCTAAGTTTTTCAATGCAAGGTTACTTGAATCCACAGATGTAGTGCGTATGAATACAAGGGACTGACTGTTCAGGTATCATACCAGAGGGCATGAAATATCAACACAGAAACAAAGGGCAATGGTCAAGATCAGAGGGAGGCAAACATCAAGCAGATGAACAGCTTCCTGAGTAGCAACAGTCAGACTAGATTCTTCACGTACCCTTCAACCACATTCCCAGGTATTAGCTGCAGGAACTGTTTCACAGGTTCACAAAGAAAGACCATAGCCAGCAGTGTACACCCACAGTACCTTGGTTTGCCATGGCTACCACTCCAGACACACCTACTTTGTGCCTAATTCATCTACCCAAAGACTACCTCCTCAAAGGTATAAGTCTAAGAAGAAATCCAGTTAGCAATACTATATACTATCCCCAATTGTGGCAAATTGTATATTATAAATTACACTGATTGTGCTGTAGTTTAAAATATAACAAGCTGCCGGGCGTGGTGGCACACGCCTTTAAAAAAAGACATAATCTGGACTAATGGCTTAACCTTGGCACACACAATGAACCCTTTGCTTCTGTGACCTGGTCACCTGATCTTACTTCCTGAGAATCATAATTTGCTACTCCACCCAAAACTGAATGAATGAATGAGAGAATGCTTGAGAATTAGGCAGCACATGTATCTTCACTGAAAACAAGAACAATGAAGTATTGTTTGACCTTGTGTGTGTGAGATATTTTAGGCCTAGGGATAGGACAAGATTGCTTGATAATGGTGGACTCAAGCTTGTATTCCCCAATTGAAGCTGAAGAAACCATTTTGAACAAAATTATGGGTGAGACCTGACACAGTTCCAGAGGACAGTCCACTCTTAAAAACTAAATTAAGAGTCATGCTATTTTGGGGGGTTTTGTTGTTGCTGTTTTGTTTGACAGGGTCTCCTTGTAGCACCAGCTGGCCTTGAACTCACAGTGATCCACCTTGCCACCACACCCAGCTCTTTTATATGTGTAAGTGTATTGCCTGCATGTGTTTAAGTGCAGCTGTGTCAGAAGAGGGAGGTCAGAAGACGGTGTTAAGAGTCCCCTGGAACTGGAGTTATGGAGGGTTGCTAGCTATCATGTGGGTGCTAGGAATCAAACAACAGTCCTCTGCAAGAGCAGCCAGTGCTCTTAACTGTTGAGTCATCTCTTTCCAACCCCAAATTCTTAAATCCTATGTTTTGATAACAGAAAAAACACTTCAATTTGTAGGAATAAGAAAGAACTTTCAAATGACTCTAATAGCAGAAGAAATAACCCTCAAATAGGATTGCATGAAATTAAAAAGCAGTACAAGGAATTGCTCACAAGAGTGAAGATAGAGTCTACAGAATGGAAGAAAATCTTTTCTAATTATACTTCAAATAAGGATTAATATGCAGGCTATATAAAGAACTGCAAAAATAAACACAAAAAAAATAGATTCCTGCCAGGCGTGGTGGCGCACACCTGTAGTCCCAGCACTTGGGAGGCAGAGGCAGGCGGATCTCTGTGAGTTCAAGGCCAGCCTGGTCTACATAGTGAGTTCCGGGACAGCTGGGGCTACAGGGAGACCCTGCTTAAAAAAAAAAAAAAAAAAAAAAAAAAAAAAAATAGATTCCTGTCATGGCTGCTTTCCTGCAGGCAGTGTCTCAGTTAATCTCCTAGTCTCAGCATCCGGAGTTCCAGAAACAGAGTATTTCAAAGCAGACAGAACTGTATATATCACTGCTTTGAAACGTTCAACCCTCGAGATCCCAACATCATGACCTCAGTTTCAACACAACCCAATTTGTTTTGGCTTTTTGGGGGGGTCTTTTTGAGACAGGGTCTCCTTAATCTAGAACTCCCTACATAGACTAGGCTGGCCTTCAGAGATCTACCTGCCTCTGCTTCCTAAGTGCTGGGATTAAAGGCGTGCTGACCTTGGTTCTTCACTGCTTCTGGTTCAGCCTGTTGGAGTAGTAGAAACTGAGATGCAATTGCTCTCATTAGCTGTGGTTCTCTCTGCATTATGGACATATGTGCTTGCCTGAGGGTATACTTGAAATGGACAGATGTGACTTTGAAGCCTCTTCTGAATCAGACTTCACACACTGAAACCTATTATGCTGTGGAGGCTAAACCTGAGGTTTGATCTCTATAGTTCCCAGCAAAGTTAACAGGGTGATTCCACATTCTTAGCTGTTTCTCATAAAATGGAAACAGATATTGCTAAATGAGGAGGGGAAATGTTTACCATAAACAGTGCACTAAAAAATGCGGCATGGTATCCCATGCCTTTAGTCCCAGCACTCAGAGGAAGAGATAGGCAGACCTCTGAGTTCAAGGCCAGCCTGGTCTACGTAGTGAGTTCCAGGCCAGCTGGGGCTACAGGGAGACCCCATCTCAAAAAGACCAAGAAAAAAAAAAAAAATGCACCCTATAATTTATATTTATTGCTTAGAAAGAGGGTCAAAATAAAATGCCTTAAATTTACGAATTACTTCATAGTTTTAGAATTGTCAAAAGCATATGAAACAGAAGGAAGTATTTGGTCAGAATCTAGCAAATCAGTATTGTTCAGTTATAATCACTGTGTCTTGAATCCCTGAGGAGTCTTTTTTTCTCCTTGTTTTTTTTTTCCTTAGGTTTCTGTTTTATCTCCCAAAGTTGATGTTGTACATAGGTATCAAGTTACCAAAAATTGAAATTTTTATGTCTGAGGAAAAGAAGTTGTAATAAAAATGTACTCAATGTGTCTAATACTAAAATTGAAAGAAGAGTACATATATATTAAAAAATCCTTTATATTGAGCAACAGATCCTTGGTGAGAAGCACTGTAGTAAATGCATATCAATTATGATATAAACAAACAAATCTTACCATCAATAAATGGGCTGATAAACTGAAAAGACAGATCTCAAAATAAGAAACACACAAGGCCAGTAAATATTTTAAGGTATTTAATATCCTTAGGCCTCAAGGAAATGCAAATTAAAACTGCACTGAGATTTTATTTCACTCCAGTCAGAATAGTTAACATCAAAACTTACAACAAATAATGATCATAAGGATGTGGCTGAAGAACTGTTACTAATTCCCGGTGTCACTGCTGGTGAGAGGTGACTAGTGCAGACACTACAGAAATCCGTATAGAGGTTTCTCAAATGAATAAAAATGGAACTACCACATGACCCAGCTATACCAGCTCTGGTATGCCCAAAGGACATCCTACCAGAGAGAACTGTACATTAATGTTTGCTGCTATACTAGTCACAAAAGCTAAGAAACGAACAAAGCTTAGAAGTCTATCAACAGATGAAAGGAAAAAGAAAATGTGACACACAATGAAATTTTATTCAGTCATAAAGAAAAACGACATTTGCATGAAAAATGTATGGAATTGGAAATTACGTTGAAATAAGCCAGTCTCAAAGAGACAAAGACTGTTTTCTCTCATGATGATCCTACATTTTAATTTTTAAGTGTGTGCTTATATACAGGGGGATGGGGTTATGA